CATCATCATAAAAAGCATCAACATATTCAGCACACTAACAGAAAAAAAGTTAGTTTCATTTTAGCACAGCTAAAAAAGGATGATTGTGTAACAATGTCATATGTTTGCTAACAGGAAGAAGGCAAAGACCAATGAGCTACTACACAGTGTAACGCCACTACTGTTTCCATTCAGTGTTAGTACTGACTCATACAGACTGCTATAGTCTGCCATGGTACAAGTCAAAAACATCTACAGGACTCTCCTGCTGCACCATCACCCTTTTTAACATCCAGTGGGGTCCTTAAAGACCCATCAGAGTGTTCAGTAGGAGTAAAGCGCAATTTCTCTCTGGAAAAAGATCAAATAATTGAATCTGTACTGAATTCTTACAGCAAGTTTTCTGATTCATTGTGATTTTTACCTGCTGTTCTCAGTGTATTGTTGGTACCAAACTACAAGCTGCACCACAGACATATTTCTAGTTTTCTTTGTCATTATATCCACTACATTGCTTCAAAACCCTCTTTGTAAATTCTCATCATGACTCATTTCATTAAGTTGTCGACCTGGTCTAGCCATCAGATATAACATGATACATAGTCCTTGTGTATATGGGTAACACTCTGAGGGTTAAATTCTCTTGTTTAGATCATTAGAGAGAAAGGTTTGTGTGTTAAACCGTGTAGTTGTTGTTGATGCCATACCAACAACTAAATCAACGCCTTAAGATTGGATGGAGTGGATGGCATGTTGTTTTGTTCAAAGGCTTTTAAATCAAAGTGCATTTTCAACGGCAGGCGTACGCAAATGGAAGATAACCCTCATTGTGTGATTATGTGAGAGACAGACCGAGAGAGGGAGTGAAAGCTGTGCAGTCAAACTGAATTTATATTGTGTAAAATCAATATACTGACATGTCAATGTGCAAATTCACATCTGTAACTCAAACCATCAACGATGTAAATACAAAGGAATGATGTTTCCACTCGTACTCTTAAAGGAGCTGTAAATGACATTCAGATTATATCTATGATTCCGAGTCCATGATTGTTTGCACATGGCTTTCAACATGGATGTGGCTGAGCCAGCGACTAGCAGCTGACGCTGGTAACAGCACAAACAGTGCAAACAACGGCAACAGTGCTGACTGAGCTAATGGCGTTAACCTTGGGGGGAACTGGAGGGTGGGCATTATGCATCCACGGTGACACCTAAGGCTGGGATGGCGTTATCCATCCATAGAGTTGAGATACATTTCATTTGCCAGCATCACACAGAGAAGGAATTCATTGCGTTACATTATTCTCTACTTGCACAATATGGTGTGATGTATACCTTTTACGAACATAATGTCTGTTTACTTCTTGTCAACTCTACAGTAAAGTTATCTTCACCTCTAACCTTAGTGATCACTGTTCTATTTCATCCTTAACTTAGATAAACTCTGTCCCATGGAGCTTTACTGTTCGCTCTCTCAAGACAGTGTACGTCAGTCAATCTTTTTTTTTTTCCAGCTCTTTAAAGCACCGTGTGTAAAATAAAACCATTGCCTAAACGCTGGGCGGTCAGCTTTATGGAGTTTACTGCTGGCTTTTGCAAGACGTTGTATGTCAGTCAATTAGTATTTCAATAACATATTTACTGTTTGTTTTTGTAAAGTGATTTTGATCATCTTGATAATCATCTCAGTGTCTGAGAAGGTAACCGTTACGTCAGTCATTCAGAGTAACAAACCTAGCCCGATTTTTGGAGTTAAGCTAACATTAGGCTGCTATGGCTCTTTTTTACACTCTGCACAATTTAAATTTATGGACGTACTCTGTTTCGCAAAAGCAAGCACCAAAGCTCTACAGAGTTGACTGCCCACCTAATAAACTTAATGATGCTCTCTTCATTTTAGTAGCCAGTTAACCTTGCTAACTGGGTAACCGCTTTATTTAAAAACATTATTATCAAAATAACCAATAACAATATATACAAACAAAACGGTAAATGTGATCAACATGTACAATATGTACAAGCTAACTAAGAAAAGTGAAATAACTAATTTAGGGAGGAAGAAGCACCATGTTAACTAAGGTCGGAGGCAAATGTTACATTACTGTAGAGCTGACAGGAAGTAAATAGACATGAAATCTGTAAAACGAATATACGTCACACCTCATTGTGCTACTAGAGAATAGCAGCTTCAGGTTTGTCAGCAGAGAGTAAATGGAAACAGAATATGTGAACATGAGCCCTCAGCCACTAAAACAGATAAAACAGTCGAACCTAGAATCAAGTTTTCTTATTTAATCCACTGAGCCATATAAATTATATTACTATAGAAAATACAGCCAGGCCAGTGGGACAGCTAACTTAAGTTTGTTGAACAGGATAAACACCAGCACACCAAGTTTTCAGCAGTGTAAGTAAACAACATTGTCACTGATAACACATGAATAAGCATGAACACTTGTTACATCAGTTGTCCACCTCACAGTGTGTTGTGCTTGGCAGAGTAAAGAGTTTAAGGCACAGCAATGGTTTGACACATCTCCTCATAAAATGACATTCAGCACAATTTCTTTGTACATCCAGAGTCAGACTGACACACTCATTCCTCTTCTGTAAAAATAAGAAAAGTTGGTGGCATTCAAAACCAAAATGATGTGATGAAGACATCTAAAAAAATCTAAAGAAACTTAGAGTAAAGACTTAACTACAGTCCAAAAACAGGACTGTAGGACCAACATGACTGGAAACTACATTGGTCAAACTCTTTAAATCATTGGCTCTGATCAGAAGCTACACATCCTCCTGTTTAAAGACAAGGTAGAGACATATGATACATCAAACACTAAATTTCCAGCATCCTGGTGCATCCTGCTAATTTCATGTTACCAATGCACATGTTGTTGATATTGAGGGGGGCTGTGCCCTGTATGCCTGGTTGTTACCTGTTTACAAAGCCCCAGCTGCACCCGAGTGCTATGGGAGAACACGGCCATAAGTTTTCCTAACACAGAAGGTAAGAAGAAAATAAGGAAAGTACAGGCAGTAGGCATAAAAACACACCGCCACACTCCTGTAGTGGGTCATGAGTGATGACTGAGAGGGATCGCTTCTGTGTGAGTTCATACACTTTTTTAGGAAAGTCCTGCATAGTCTATCTTTAAGTTACTCTCTAAAATGGGCATCACGAAACCAGAAAGAAACCCTCTAGATTCCAGAATACATTCAGCTGATTATGAGTGAAATTTCTCTCTAGTGAGTTATCAACTTCTCCCAGGTTGGAAATCAGATAAATATGTCTTGAATATGAGCTCAATGTAGAGATTCACTTTGTTCAGAGTTTGCATATTGATGAACATCACAGTCCTCCATCTTTGTAGTTCAGTAGCACACTGCTTCATCTCATGTAGTTCAAACAACAATCATATCTCACCATCTCAACGTCTTTACATTCTTAACAGTCATGTAGCATAAAATCCACCTCTCTGCTTCAAAGGCCTCCATCTTGAAGTTCATCATCTTCTGTAATTTTTACAAATCTGATATCACATCCCTCCATGTCAGGCTGTTGTCATGCACTCTTTGTATGTATTCCTACGAAAAGTACTGCGCCACAATTTGTATATAACCCACGTAATCACAAGCCAGTAATTCATCTAAAACCCATATAATCGGGGTGCTTAGTGGGTAGAGTAGGTGTCCCATATACGAAGGCAATGTCCTTGCTACAGCGGCACACATGCAGGCTCGATTCCAGCCTGCGTCCCCCTGCTGCATGCCATCTCCCCTCTCTCCCCCTTCGCACCTAGACTGTCTTATCTAATAAAGGCAAAAAGCCGAAAAAAAATCATCTTTTAAACCAACGTAATCATCAATGCTGCAATGACGTGACTAATGTGCTCACGGGAGTAAAGAAGGAAGTCATTTAAAGACAAAAATTCTGTGTAAGGATGCAGGTTGGGATGGTGGATGTGGTCAAACAACACAGGACTTTCCCCCAGGAGAGCAGTGTTTGTGTCCCAAGTGAAACCAAGTCAAAATTGTTTTAAATTAGGCTCAGCCATCACCATGTTTCTTTTCCTAACCATTACCTATGTAACTACTTTCCAAAACCTACCTATGTAACTTAACATTAAGTACGTTACAACATCCGTGGGTGCTAATTTGATGGAACCATTGAGTACGAGGATCTGTAAACCATACAGGTATCATCTCTTACATGTCATTTATTGTTTCAGTTAACAGTCTTCTGTGATTGTCAGTGTCATTCTGCATTCAAAAGGCAGACAGTGATGTCTTTCTTAAAAACACGGCTGAGGGGTAAAGCCACACACCATATAACTGCACTGTCCAAGGTTTGATCACAGCCGAGGACCTCTCTTACATGCCATACCCCCCTCTTTCTCTACAGCCCCCCATGGCTCTTGTCTGCCTCTATACTATCAACTGTCTAATCAAGAAAGAAAATTAAATTAAAAGAAAACTGTTCATAAGTTGTAAAGCTGTGTCATAAAATGTATCATAAATTGTCTAAAATGTAAAATACAGGGGTGCTGCAAACACAGACAGGCACTATGAGCATATTAGGTCACCAAAAGTTGTAATTTTATGTATGCAGTGTGTGGAAATGTCAATTTCCTTTGACCTTCATTACAGGTTTATCCGATCCTGAATCTTCATCTATGGATGACTTTGCTTTACTCCAAGATCTGAGTGAGGTTTAGTTGACAGACACCCAGTAAATACATTTTTTCAACAAGAACAGTTCATATTCTGGATGTTCTTCTTCTTGCTCTTTGTTTCACTGGTGGGGTGAGGGTGGTGACAAGTGTCCCGTTGTCAAAAATCCAAGGTATTTTTTAACAAGGCTTACATCCCTGCAGGGTGATGGTGTCCCTGCTGGGGTCACAAAGTACCATGTTCTCATTATTATTTCCTTTGTGAATAAAAAACTTAATTCTCAGCACTGATGCCTCCTATGATGATGACTGGAAAGATCTTGAGAGGTGTTGATTGTCTTCTTTCTACTTGAGGTGTTCAGTGACTGAGTTGTCTCCTCTCTCTGGGTCCAAACCGTTGATGAGCAAACCGCCATTTCTAGCCGGAGGTGTCACAAGGCCCTGCTGCCCAGCCTCCCTCTCATTTCTGTCTCGTTCATCGTTGAAATTGACCAACACGGTCCTCTTCGGCAGAGTGAGCTCAGGGCCAGGACTGGATCCCAAGTCAGAGGACAATTTGCGTTTAATCGAGGTGGCACGCTGGAACTTATCGTAGATCTCAACACTAACACGTCGCCGTGTTTCTTTGAACTCTGCTGAGACGTTGGCCGTCCACTCTGCAGCATGAGCTCGGATCTCTCCTACCTGCAATGACAGGCACAGAGAGTGAAGTAAGTAGAGAGCACAGAGGATACACATGGATGGCAGGTTGGATTCTTGAATCTGTCTTACACACTGCTGAGCAAATAATTCCTGTTTTCATGACACTGTCAGTAACATGAAATGAAATAAAACAGGGATTGTAAAGACAGTGATCAACAGGAAGAATGGGCTATATAAGGCAAAGACCACAGTACTGTTAACATCAGATTAAAGATAGACCACCGTGTGCCCCGACAACTTCAGCATCAGGTAAGGGAGACCTGGTGTGCTCCTGACAGCTTAACAGCAGTTGCGACACTTTATAGTTTGTCATGTTTAAAAAGCTCCAACAGTTACTCAGCACAGTGATCTGTGTCCAGTGATCTAAAGTGATCGTTGTGCGTGTAAAATGATGAGTATCCTCACTATGAAAGATGATAAGTACTCTGGGTTAGCTGCTGAGGGGCCTTGTGTGTTTGCATCATGGTGCTGCTAACATGGGGGGATCATTGGCTTGATTAAGCTCACAGAGGCCTTGCCAGCTATGAAAGCTGCCCCATGTGTTAACTTGCTCTCCTTTGCTGCAGCAGACATGTACCCTGCATCACTGCCTTTTTGGTTTTGAACATTTAACACCTCCTCAGCACACCTGACACATCCATGCATGATCCATGCTTTCATTACTGACTTTACTGATCTACACTCTCCATTGTTCACTTGAGTTAGTCATAGTTTGATAAACTATGGTTGTTTCAAGTTAATATTTTGTGTGGACTCCCTGCTTGTCACATTCAGTGAGCCAGTTTGTGACATTTTTTTGTTTGAAAGAGAAAATATCGAGCGAGAGAGAAACGGGGAGTGAGGACATCACTGACCAGGAAGTCAACTCAATTACATTGAAACAATGTATCTGCAACTAGACAGGACTGCACAGAGTATTAATCAGCCATGGAAAATGTGACACACACTCACACTCACACACAACTGAGTACACCTTAAAACAAAAACAAAATAGCATTAGTATGTACAGCAGAGATGTTCATTATGTTGAAGAGAGCTCACTGATGCTTATTAATCATCTGAAAACTGAAATATTTGATTATTAAAAATGACCTTAGGTAGACAACTCTATATTCTCCAGGAACTGAGTGTGCTGTCACACTGAATCTAAATGAATGAAACACCTCACTCAGTGAAAACAGTTTTACTCCCTACATTGCATTGTTTTTTACTCAGTTTAACAACTGTGACGCAAGGCTATGAAACGCCTCAATAAAAACGATCTGTGTTATCACTAAATGTTTTTACCCCTGACATTTTAAGTACAGGTAACAGGAGAGAACAGCTGAAGGCGAACTGTACAGTATGGTTTGTACCTTTTCTACAAATGTTAAAAACAGTATAAAGACACCTAAAGGCACGATGACAGACCAGTTACTACTAATGAATACAGTCAGGTTTCCCGGTATTGCTTCTGATTTAATTCTTAATGAAACAGCAAGTAAATCCACGTCTTCCTCTAAAAACCACAATAACAGCAGGCTGACAAACCACTAGCAGATGAGCACGGGGACAAAAAAGAAAAAGGCAGACGGACACACAGAAAGGAAGAGCTGAAGCAAGAAACCTGTTGACCAGGATAATTAAATTACTTAATGGGACACATGCTTCAGTTTTGGGTCTACATCTCATTAAAATGGGACAGCAGCCATTCAGGTCTCACCTCAGGGCAACAAAGGACTCGGTGTGATGAAAACACACTTCAAATATTGCCTCTAGTTCTGCCTCATGATAACGACACACACACACACACACACACACACACACTTTTACAGGCCAGTAAGATGATGAGGTATCACAGCAGGACTTCAGCATGAGAACGCATGGGGAGCACTGATGAACACACACACACACACACACACACACACATACAATGCATCATACACCATCACTGAGCAGTTGCAAACCAATATCACTCAGCTAATTATGTTTAACTAATGGGCACACCATGTCATGTCAGCCTGTTCTTGTCAAACCTTGTTCCCTGAAGCTCTTCTATGAGAAAGTGTTTCTTAGTTAAGAACTGTGACTGAATCTTTATTCACACTCACCTCTCACTAAAACACAAACACCTGTGAACTCTACTTACAAGGAAAGTATCACCTGTATTATTCTGCCAGAGTTTCAATTAAGAGTCCCTGTGAAAACTCACAGATGTTCCCCCCTGGAAACAGTGTATTTGCATAACCTGTGCTATATTCAGAGCACACACACTCCTAGATAGATTTTCTGATAGGGACATCATCACACATCATCCAAAGGACCTCTTTCTCACGCTCCCTCTGGAGATGCTCATGGTAATGGCATAAGACTTAAGTGTTTATGTGTTTGGGCGGCAGACGGTGGATTGGATTAGAAAACAGTCTTATCATTGAAATGAAGTTAAGCTGAGGGCAAAAGTTGAGGCAGAGGCATGGCACTGTAACTGGGTAGGAGGAATAACCTGTGTGTCACTGTACTTAAAGAGACAGAGAGGGTGGAAACGTTTGCACTGATAGATTAACAGGTCGGGAGAAAAAGCAACAAGTGACAAAAGGAAGTTGCAAAAGAAAATATGAAGGAGGCGATGAATGAAGGAGTCTCATACCTCTTCTTTCGTCCTCTTGGAGATGACTCTGAACCAGTCTCCTATCATGCTGAGGATGGCAGCAAAGTAGGCAAGTCCCACCAGAATCCAGAACCATACAACTGGTTTATAGTAATCCAAGTACTCTATTTCTGAGCCACCTATACACACGGAGACAGAGACAGTGACTGGGTGAGACGTACAGGCATGACGCAGAGAGACAAACAAGTTTAACATGTCCGTCTGTGCTCACATTCAATCACCGGCTTTGTGTTTGTACCTGCCACAAAGTCTCCAAATCCTATGGTGGTCAGGGTGATGACCACAAAGTACAGGGACTCCAGCGCAGACCAGCCCTCGATGTGTTTAAAGATGGCTGCTGGGAGCGCCACAAACAGCAGGCAGCCAAACAGCACAAACAGAAGGGTGGAGATGACCCGGATCTTTGTCTGAGTGATGTTCCAGTGCTGCAGGAGACAGAGAGGGGAAGATGAAATGAGTAATATGATGCAACAGGCACATTTACAACTTCTATAGAGATCTGATCTGTTTGGTCTGTTTGCCATCATTGCAAACGTACATGAAGCTTTTGTCCTCAGTGTTTATCATTTGTTAAAGATCTTAGGATGTGAGTGGGACAAAGCTGTACTGTAAAGCCTAATTATTTGCCTCTTTGGCATAGAGAAACCAGATCCAATATATATTTTTATGCCAAAATACGTCCCTTGCCGGGGTCATTCCTATGGTACTCAACCTTTTTCATGTCAAGAACCCCTAAATTGATGCACATTAGATCCATTTGACTCCACTTGATAAAATTTTGCTTCAGGCACATCCACCTGAAAAGATTTTGGTTGTTAGATATGATAAATTGTCATTGTCAACTATAATTTAGGAGATGACTGTGGAGGAAGTGAAACCTTTGATCAGAATAGTCACTCTTACAACTCTTACTCACATCAGGCTCACTTCTATAATGAATTGAATTGTGGAAATAAACTATTCCTCATGTTTCTGAGGACCCCTGGAACTCCCTCAACCTGGCACAAGAGCAGCACCCACATTTTCCAGATGGTAAGAGATGTGGCGTGTGTGGGTCCAAGAGTTTACAGTCATGCTAGCGGCTCTGTGAGGATTGCTAATATCAGAATACTAACTTACAATGCTAACATACTTATGTTTAGCAGGTATAATGTTTAACATTTTCACCATCCTGCTTTAGCGTGTTAGCATGCTAACATTTGCTATTTAGCATTAAAGACAAAGTACAGCTGGAAGATGTGAATGTCACGAGTTTTGCTATTTGATCTGATAATCAAATCACTGCGCTAAAGGGCGCTAAATGAAAAGTCAAGAGGCTCACCAAAGTGATTATAATCAAGTTCATCCTAAGATGGACTTGTGCCAAATTTTCATTCAATAATTGTTCACACATTTAACTCAAAACATAAAGAAAACATCAGAGTATCACCAAAATCAGTAGTATTAATCCTCTCAGGAGCATGAACGTTTGCACAAATTCTAAAGCAATCCATCCAATAGTCATTGAGATATTTCAGTCTGGCCCAAAGTGGAAGAACGACCGACAACTGTTTTTGAAGCGAAATGGTAAAACAGACAGATGCTGCAGGCAGTAATAGCATTATTCCACAAATTGGTCCCCTGGGTGCAGTAGAAAAGAAAACACATTTACAGTATTCAGTGAGGATAATTCTGCCATGCCACATGGTCTGAGCACACAGCAATAAGGCTTTGACAAACATGCACACAAACACACACTTACACAATGAACTTTTGTCCTCTGTCCTCAGCCATAATCATAATATTCATTACAGAGTCCCTCGGGTGCCCTGAGAGCGGCTCGAGGAGCAAATCATTCTGAATGATTAGTAAGACTAGTAAGCAAAGTAATCACAGCAGCTTCAGCTTTAAGAACTTAAAAACAAACTTTGTCTCTCTTATTAGGATCTGGAGGCTCGTTACAACGCGTTAATACTGGGGCCTCACTTTTAGCCTGATCCATCTCATCTTCGTAATACTGTCTTTAACGAAAGATTCAGACAGTTTGACAAATAAATAAATCAACCTGAAAATGCATCGTTCAACAACAGCATCATCGAGTTTGGACCCAAGACTGAGAGACTTTATACGCTCTGTTTGAGTCCTGACGTCAGCTGGTTAAAGACCAGCCTACTGTTGTGTGGCTTTACAACCAGCTTTAAAGACGACAACAGATTTTTAAAAAACAGTGAGAGGACATTAGAAATTATTTAAGGGGAGACGTTACAAAAGCCACAGAGCAGCCTTAGACTGAATTAAAAGCAAGTGAAAACAGGTGGGTTACAATGGGTTTTTTTGCGTTTTGTAGCAGGTGTTTTTTTCATGGCTTGAACTGAATTGATTTATCTAATAAACAACTGAACTCAATTGATTTCCCACCAGAAAATTGAGCAGGATCAGTACATAACCTGGTAGTTAAATCAGATGTCTGCCTTTTGTAAATATAAAAGCTAAAAGCTAAAAGCTAGCGTGGGTGAGGAAACTGTCCAGAGTGCTTTGATGTAAATTATTCAGGGGAGCTTATACAGACTCTCCGCCTGCAGACTATAAACTTATATGACTTCTCCTGTGAGGTGAAGTATCTTGCGTCTGTTCACCCTACGTGTTTGTATGTTACTCCAGACTCACCACAAACATTTTCTCCACTCTGGCGATACCCTTGCCGAATATGGTGCCGAACTGATCTCCTACACCAGCCAACAGGAAGCCGAACAGAGGTATCCCCAGCAACGCATAGATGATACAGAAGATCCTTCCACATTCTGTGTGGGGAGAGATGTTCCCAAAACCTGCAGAGAGGACAGAAAGAAAGAGCAGACTGAGCAAGGGTGTAGATTTTGTTTCAGTGACAGAGAGGAGGCATATGAAACAGGGTTGGGGGTCCTCTGCCAGAAAAAGTTGAGCATTAAACACTTAATTTCCAGCTTTATGCACCAATTTGCTCCTTTTGTCACATCAACTTATGGTGCTGCTACTTTCATGCTCTTATATTGGGGGACAAAGCATATATTCTAAATATTGAGAGGGACGTGTCCAACTCTCACCCCCAAAATCTACACGTATGAGACTGAGAACATATATATCATCATTTTATACCCGCACAACAGTGAAAACACTCATCGTAGTTAATGAAACTACCGATTAATAATTCAGTGTCCACAGCAGAGTAAGCCATGTGATCACATACTCGAATATAACAAAGCAACAGGTGAGATGAAACACTGTTTGTCTGCTTGTGTTTATATGTGTTACATAACTTTTATAATCAAATCATGCACACACTGTAAATGAATGGAAACATAACTGAGTACTAGTTTGATTATATCCAGGAAGGAGACACAGAGTCAGTGACCGCTCCACTTCTCACAGCAGCAGGTTACATAAGTGGCCATTACAGGTTTATTCTGAGGAGTGTGTGCATACATAAACATTTACTAACCTGAAATGACTTGAAATTATTTGAATTTATGTCATTAAACATAATTAGGAGGATGACACATCAGACAAATAAACATTCACACCAGAAAATCTAATTTGCCTGTACTTATGATGGTCTAAATCAGGGGTCGGCACCCTTTTGATATGAAGTGACATTTTTTGATGTTCTTGTTAATCAGTGTGCCATATCGATATAATGTCAATCCTCAAATGCTCCTCAAATTGCTTCATAAAAACTTTGGCTATATCCTCGACGTCTATGTTTGAGCATTGGTTGTAGGCAGCAGAGCACCTCCTTCAGAGTCAAATCACAGGATCTTACTATGACAGCCAAATGTGGTATGTCATTCACATCCACGCTCTTATCAAGTGCAATGTTAAAGCTGCAAACTTTTAGTGTGTGTGTGTCCTACCGATGGTGGTGATGACAGTCCCAGCGAAGAAGAAGGCAGAGCTCAGGTCCCACAGGCTGCTGTGGTTGGTCAGTGTCCCTGCAGGGTTCACTCCTGAGCGGATAGCAGACACAACTTGCTGGAGGGGGGAAGAGAGATTTGTGCTCAGATTAACAGTTATCAAAGCCAGCAGACACTCTCAAATTCTGGTTAAAACACACACATTGTAACTTTCTTGCTGCAGTAAATAACATTATTATGAAACATTTAAGCAGGTGCTTTGGAGCCTTGTGTTTCTTCTGGCGGTGCAGGCAGGAATGTGTGTTTGTGTGCCTGCCTGTCTCATGAATTAAAGATGAAAATATTTAAAACTTAAGATGACTGTGTGCGAGGTGAAAATCGGGTGCTGTCAAAGAGAGTGCATTAAGGTGAATGCAGGAGTCCCTGAAGGGTTTTATAGTTCAGGAATGGGAGCAGGACCGGACTAACAAAAACCAAGACAGCCACATTTCTTCCTTCTACTTCTGTGAAGCAGCATGAGCTGTCCATGGTGCTGAAAGCACTGTCACTGAGCTCGATTACAACTGAGTACACTACACACATCAAAGTTTTTCCTGAGTGCTTATACACTTACAGTAATTATTAAAGCACTGTCTCTGAATCCATTACATAACATTTGCAGCCAACGCACGTACCAAGCGTGCTGCACAGAATGCACGTTCTCTGCTTCACACTCAGTTTGCAGTTTGATAACAAACTTCTAGCAAAACTGTGAGCATTGATCTCTACATTGCTACGCCATTTTGCTAATTACCTTTTCATACTGATAACATGTGAAAAACTCTTTTAGATAGAGTTTACTTACATTATTTGTATTGATAGTGTGTTATGTTGGAATAAACATCTATACTTTACACATTTGGATACCTGTGTGTATAAGTGTTTACTACATGTATGACAAAACCATATGGCAAACTGCTGTGCCCTGTAAGAGAAAAAGCAAGTGTGTTTCATTTATACTCTCAGTGTGTAGTTTGTGCTTAGTGTGCTGATTCAAAATGTCAAAATAACCACAAAGCGATGCAAAGGAACCACAAAAAGACACAAAAAATAACCACAAAAATGGGCAACACAACCACTAATATAGTGGTTCCCAGCTGGTCCAGCCAAAGGGTCCAGATTTCTTCTTGGTCATTAGTTCAAAGTCCATGCAGTTTAATACATTCAGTGTCATACTTGCATTTGGCCATATTGTCAAGCTAGTTTTCTGTCTCTGTCAAGTAGCTGTCCATTATTCACTCACTCTACAGGAGGACGTGGCACTTCAGAATAAAAGCTCTGTGCTGGAAATTCACTGTACTTAAAAATAAAGTGTGTTTTTTAAAAACTTGACATGTTTGTGAGTCACTTGCATTCAGAATGAACCCGTGACCCACTTTTGGACTGAGCCAACAGTTGGGAACCACTGCACTAAGACACAAAACCACTCAAAAGAGACATAAATGACGTCAAAAAACACAAAACAACCACAAGGAGACACAAAATGATGACAAAGAGATGCAAAACTACCACCGAGTCTGAGTATCTTCCTCCTGTGTAGGAGAGGTGGTGGGGCCCTTTGCATGTCTGTGCCCAGGGGCCCATTGTCTCATAATCCACCCATGGATATGAAGTAAGGCTCACCTTAACCAGCTCCTCCAGCTGGGTCTGGTTGACACAGGAGTGTCTGGACAGGAACTCCAGCTTCTGGGACAGGATGGCCAAACGCTGGGCGCTAGGAGAGAGAAAGGAGATGAAGTATGTGAGGCTTAACTGTGATACAGTCCGCCCTTCTCAAAGCTCATATTTCAAAACTGTTAGTGTCAATAATTGATGGCTGTACAGAAAATTCTCCTTCACTAAAAAGTGCTGATTTTGTTTAAATTGTGTGAAAAGTACTAGACGTGTGAAAGTTTAAATTTTGGCTTTAAGACATTCAGTGAAAGCAAACTAGCAGGTTCACGTCTATACTGCAGTGGAGTTCAATGTTTGTTTTTTCTACTACAGTGGTATTACTTAAATGAATACTTCCCCCCAAAAAGGGCCATTTGTGAATCAATAAATTATTTTGTGTTATCTACAGTTCTTCAAGAAAACATTGTTTTTCTCACATGCCTCCACGGAAAACATATTTACGTATTCATAAACTCTGACAAATCCTGTGCAGTAAAATCCAAGTATCATTTATCCAGTGGAATGCTCAGTACTTCCCAAACATAAGCACTTTCAAAAGAGAACCTTAATATTGGTCTGGTTTTAAAGAGATAGTTAAAGGATAACTTCGGTATTTTTCAACCTGGGCTCTATTTCCCCATGTGTATGTGTGCGTATGATTCATAGGTACAACTCGTTCTAAAATTGGTTCAGTATTGAGCCGCGAAACGAGCTAAAAGGGTAACGGGGGCAAATGCATCCCGTTTAAGTTTGCGCATTAAAAGTGCTTTTTTTCACCACTGACCGATTCAGATCACCAGTGCTATCTCTGTAGATAGCATACTACCTCTGGGCTGTGATGTCATCTCACGAGAGCAGAGGAACAGAGGTGCCATGCTGAGCGCCGCTCAGAGTGGCGCTGGTTGTCCTGGAGTACAGTTGAGAGTTTTACTGCATCCATTGAAAAAAAAATTGTTTTTTACTTTTCCGAATTGCAAGAACAGGATGTCGCACAACACCCCGTACAGCTTTCATAGGCTGCCTTTGTCGGACAGCGAGAAGCTAAAGCTGTGGCTAGTTGTGCTACAAATGGATGCTAACACTCCTGTCAAGACACTGCGCCTTGCAGACCATCAGGTCTGCAGTGCTCACTTCTCCCAAGATGACTACTGCCAGCCGAAGAAGAGAAGACATCCAATCCCAAAACACCTCTTCATCAAGAAAACGGCTGTCCCACGAGTAGAGAGAGCTACAGACACAGCGGAGCAAAGCTCTCACGAGATGACGTCACACAGCCCAGAGGTAAGGGAAACACTTAGTATGCTATTTACAGAGATAGCACTGGCGATCTGAACCGGTCAGTGGCAAAAAAAAGCACTTTTAATGCGCAAACTTATACGAGACGCATTTGCCCCTGTTACCGTTTTGGCTCGTTTCGCGACTCCCGGTTGCATCCGCCTCCCTCAATACTGAACCAGTTTTAGAACGAGTTGTACCTATGAATCACACGTACACATACACATGGGGAAATAGAGCCCAGGTTGAAAAATACCAAAGTTATCCTTTAAGTTTCATTTTAGTTTGAGCTGTTTTAGTTAAACTGCATGTGTTTGGTTATCACTGTTCGGTTTGTAAGTTTGAAGTTGACTGTGTGGTCAACCCTCTGTTAATATAGCATTAGCTACCTGGCTAATGTTAGCCTCAAGATATTGTCTTAGAAACAAAACCCACGCGCAGCATGTCATTAAAAAAGTGCTACTAGCACTTTTTTAATGACATGCTGGGATGAAGTGCTACCCAGCGCCCTGCCAGCACTTTTCTGCTAAAGAAAAACGCTGTGTGGACACAGGGCCTCATGGATTCAAAGATTAAATCTATTTGTTCACATATTTTTTACACATTTAAACATTTTAATTGATGAAAACATTTTTACATTCACACATTTGAATATATTTTTACATTAAACATTTTTATACATTCAGAGAAGGCTATAATACTTTTGACTCCACAATCCAGCAGCACGTGGACTAATATTTTTCCTTATAAAGTATTTAGACAAATCATTGTCATTTAGTAACTGTGTACCTTTGTCAAAGGGTTTTTAGATTTAGAAGTGAAAAATTGCAATTAAAAATCAAATCAATTTACACTTAAAAACCTAAATAAAGACAAGATTCTCAATATTTTCACAATAAAATAAAGATTTAAAAGTGGTCAATAATGATATAATAATAAATCGTCCACATTGCCTCACACTGAGCTAAAAACATGCTGGTTACAGGGGCAATGAAGAAATGTCTCAGAGGAAACAGAGGAGGGACTGATAAATGGATGACTGGATAAATAGATGATGGATAGATGGCTTTCATGGTCGTGAGGCAGACAGACAGGAAGTGATTAATTTAACCTGCCTACCTCTCATGAGGCTGCTCCAGGGATCTGAAGACTGCTGCTCCAATCACCAGGTACAGAACCACCAAAAGAAAGATGGCTGACACCGTCTTCCATTTCATCACTGTGGCAACCACCTACGTAAACACTACAACTGAGCAATCAACCCACATACATACAGGAGGTCTCCTGAAACAACCACTGTGGAAAAACCAGCTTGTGGAAAAATAGATTTAAAGAGTTACTTTTAAAATCTGGACTTGGCTCTTTTCTCTCTCACCTCACTCTCCTCCCGGGGAGTCAGTGTGATTGGCTTTGTGGAGAAGGAGAGGCGGGGCTTGGTGTTGTGAGTGGCGGATTTAGGGTCCAATAAGTCTGGAGCTGCCACTGTGAGAGAAAAACGAGAAAATGGCATTGAGAGGTTTCTTCTCCACGACGTTCCCCCTCCCTGTCTCTGCGATCTTACTCCAGTCAAACACTTTCAGCTGTTAATTTTAGAAGTCCTTATAAATAAATCACAGGCTGGAGCCTATCCCAGCCTGGACAGGTCGCCAGACTATCACAGGGCTGACACATAGAGACAGACAACCATTCACACTCACATTCACACCTTTTTTTTTTTATTTTTTTACTCACATTCACACCTGTGGGCAATTTAGAGTCACCAATTAACCTGCATGTCTTTGGACTGTGGGAGGAAGCTGGAGTACCTGGAGAAAACCCATGCTGACACAGGGAGAACATGCAAACTCCGCACAGAAGGGCTCCCTCCTGGGATCCAACCAGGACCCCTCTTGCTGTGAAGGGGCAGTGCTAATCACCATGATCATGACTGAGCAGAACTTTTGTAGACTAATTAAGAATCAGAAGACCCTGCATATTATTTTTATTCATTTATGACATGTTCACTGTAAGGTTACTTAAGACATGCCACAATGATTTTTATCACATGGTTTTACTAGAAACACAACGACACTCTTATGAAAATAAACCAGCTTATTTTAAGGACAAATACGTTTTTAACTCCATATCTTATGTAGCTTCTGTATTGGTTTTAAATTAAACTATTTATTAAATAAACCTATACCAAAAATTACTCTAATAATTAATTAATTCAATCATTCATTAAGCCCATAAACGGCTGTGTGTCGTATATGGAAACATGGCCTGGCTGTGGGCTACTGGCCAGCTGTGCTCGTAAGAGAGCTGAGGTGCAGAGAATGTGATTGCCAAATTAGCCTGAAAAATTGAAATGATAATATGATTATTGTATATTGATTGCAGTGCGTTTTCATTACTGAGCAGACACTTCTCTGAGCCACGGTGTAAACAGAGGATTAACTCTACATTATCAACAAAAAATACTGTGCTCCTTACAGATGTGTATGTCCATGTATATGAACATACACAGCCATATTCCTGCTACATGACAGGTAAAAATGTGCATGAATATTTTCCATAAACATATAAATGTCTACATATAACTATGTTTTCAAAACTAAAACAGCCCAGAGCAGAGAACTTTGATTGCTGCAGATAATTTTGTCCATATTGCTCCAGCAAAATCATCTCAGTAAGGTGAAGGTGACAGCAGGTAGCTGCTAACTTTGGGTGTGCGTAATATTACACCCTACTGCAGTAGATTGTGCCAGGTGCTCCACAAGAGGGGCTAATAACTGATTAAAAATTAAATTTTAATTTTGCCAACAACATTAGTAAGTGGGCTACTTGTTTGTTTGATTTTTTTATTATGTAATGATAAGAAATCAGCCACATATTACTGGCACCCCTGGACACCCTTGTGGCCCAGAGTATGGATGTGTGTTTCTATGTGTGCATGAGTGTGCCTGTGTGTATGTGTGTGTGAGGAGGGAGAGAGAAAAGAGCAGCAGAGAGGAGGTGAGGAGGGTCAGGAGGCGGAGTCTGTTCATGATCACTCAGACAGAAGAGCAGAGGAGAGACATGAAAATTTGAATCTGTGCCCTAAAGCACCCCTAATCTTTCTGGGGTCCACCAAATTATATTGTAAAACTGTGATTTTTTTCCCCTCATCAAAATAAATTATGCTAAATAATATGCCCTCCAAATAATTCTGTAGTCCACAATATATTCCTGTTGCTGTACGACAAGGTCACAGGTGACACTGTACTCACAAACTGACATAAACCACAACAAGCATTGATTTACTGTATGTCTGTTTCTTCAAAAGATTAAGTCTTTATAGCCTACTGGACGTACAAAATGCTATTAAGATGAGAATGAAAAAAGGTTGAAAGCACTCAAGCTGATTAGCTTCCACATGAGGGTTTGACCAAAACATACAGAGTATGAGCTGGTGACCTAAATGAAATAATCTTTGATCAGGGTCACCTTATAGAAGCACTCCACCTCCTTTTGTGTTCACTCACAACAACACACATCTCAGAGGAAACTGAGCTGAGATGGATCTAGTTTATACCAGAATATCAGAATAAGTGAGTGTAAGAACTGAAACAGATGTTTAGGTGTTGTAAAGAACTGTTTATGTTGGCTGTGTGACGAGCTGAAATATTTTAGCTGCATAAATATTTAATGGATTGAAACAAACATGCAGTCGGTGCAGCTGTGCAGAAAGCAGAGGTGCTGGAGTCAAAGACAATCTCTCTCTATCACACACACACTCACGTACACACTCTATGCAGCAACACACACACACACACACACACACACACACACACTATGCAGCAACACACACACACACCTTCAGCTCTCACCAGTTGTCAAGTGGAGCAGCTTTCATAGAGCCGCCAGCACCTATTAAGCAACGTAATCAGTTGCTCTAATACAGACTTTTTTTAATGAACAAGAGACGAAATCAAAACTGAACTTCCAAACGAAACCCGTCATTATTTCGTGCCATTTTTGCCGACAAATTGTGACAAAACAAAAAGCTTAAAGGTGGGCGAAATGGACAATTTAGGTAGGCTAAGTAAATAATTTACACCCTTTACAAAACGAGCACTCTGAGGAGTCTATTTAATGATAGTATAAATGTTAATAGGTCTCACTTTAGCCTTTGAGCACACATACCGTAAAACTTCAATTAATAGCCCGGGCTATTATTTGCTTAAATCACTGAAACCAACAGACCTGTAAATGGGACAGGCCTTTAATTCCTCTCACACAAAACAGTTGCTCGGCAAAGATCAGGAACTACAATCAAATTGTTTATCTAAACCAGTATGCATATTACTTGTTTCAAAATGAGGCTCCAGATAATATATCAATTATGAATCATTCATTTGATCTAGCTCCGACAGACAGCACATCAGAGAGATTGAGTTACAGCACTCGAGGATTACAGCACCTGGCACACACACACACACACACACACACACACACACACACACACAACACCAATTTACCCTGTTAAAACACACTCACACTTGGATTAATTCTTATGAAAAACCCTTTTGATCTGAGGACTCTTATGGACCAAAGGAATATGAATAACTTACAGGGTAATCGAGGAATGGACACATAATTTGAGGTAGCCAACAACCCAGTTTTACACATCCGAAGAACTTCTATAAAGAAAAAAATGAACTGCTTGGCAACCAGAGCAGGCGTCTAATTGAGACAGGTGTTTATTTGTCAAAATGTATAGTAAAAGGGACTAGGCATTTAATTTGGACTAGGCTTTTAACTGAAGTTTTACGGTAATTTACAACTAACCATGTTAACTAATATTTACAATACACAAGCTGATTCAGTGCCATGAGAACACATTTCACTGAGGAGGGGACCCCAAATCAAATCCTGCTAAAGCCCCCCAAAAGTCTAGGGCCGGCCCTGAAATTGCACGAGCTTCAAGATGTCATGTAATATTTACTGAGTTATGTATTTTTAATGTGACATGGAAAACATTTTTTACAGAATGATGTCAGGTTGAAGTGTGAGCAGCTGTGGTGAATCTTAAACTGCGCCATAAGTTTGAGAGCAACTTCTGTGTGTAAGTGTGTACTCACTCCTTGTTGTTACCTATCCAATGCCCTCCGCTCTCCTCTTCTCCTCATCCGACGCTCTCACTGCGTTTAGGGGAATCTTTCCTCCTCTGCGTGTCTCCTCCCTGCGGTGCTGAAGCGGGGGGACGAACAGGAGCTCCGTTTTCCTTCCGCTCCTCTCCTCTATACTTGTATCTTCTGATCGGACACTGATGGGGCACTAGGAGGCTACTTTTTATTGCATCCACATGCCACTGCAAAGAGCTTGCTCTGGTCTGTCTCCTGCTCCTCTGTCAGCTCTCACGCATCCACTCTGCTCAGTCTGCGCTCCCGCTTTTGAGCGCACCGGTGGAGCGGTGGGATAACACCGAGAGGGGTGGAGAGAGGAGGGAGGGGTGGAGGTGCAAGACACAGGGAGGTGCTTCCCACACCGAGAGGGAGGACGTTTACCGAGTTTCAGAAGTCCCCATCTACTTCTACTGACACATTATTGCATGTCTAGAGGTAAGTGATCATTTGGCCATAAGTCTGCTACTACTACTACTACTAGTGCATAGAGGAGGGCAGTGATACAGGTCTCTCGGTATTTTATAGAGGCCCAGGTGCTTCTGCTGTATTCTCAGTCTTAAACCTTTTTGGATTGAGACAGTTATAATGAGTCACCTGACACATTTTGCTGAAGGTGTAAACAGCTTCACCACCAAATGCAGATTCTTTCACAAAACTCTACAGATCTTCATTTTGAAGCAGTAATATTGCACATAATTTTTAGGGATATGGGGGGAATCAATTCGACATAGTACCGCGATATTGTGGCATATTGTATCAATACATTATATTAATTATGAGTTTTGCAAATACAAATTACCCTTTTGGTAGCCCACTAGAATAATAAGACCAATTGCTTTTTCAGTCCACTTTTTACTGAAATAAAGATGATTGAAGTGTGATTACCAGACTTAAAATGGCTGTTGGCCAAATCTTTCTTTTGGGACATAATTTGCAGTTGAAAAAAGGTAATAAATCGCATTATATAGAAATATAATATCGCAGTCCTTTAACTACTTAATTATATTGTATCATGACTTAAGTTCCATGATATCAATCACCTCTGATGATTCCCACCCCTAATATTTTCATATACATTTTTTTTCACATTTTTATGTAAATCTTTCTTTGATTTTGCAGTTCTTTTTTAATTTATATTTTCTCTTTCACCAATATAAATTCCATGTATGTGAAAACCTACTTGGCAAAAAAATCTGATTCTGATTGTGAAAATATAATTTCACTTTCAGAACTTGTTTCATTTAATTGGTGGAGGCCAGAAGATGTAAAACTATCCAGCTAGCTTTTTGCAAAAAAAAAAACCCCAACAACATACAAACAAACAAACAAACAAACAAAATACATATTTGTGTATAGCAGAACTTTTTTGTCTTCCCTCCTGTCCCATTTGCATGTTGCATTCCCATATATCAATCTTGTGACCTTTTCGAGGGGTCCCGACTCCTAGGTTTGGAACCACTGTCTAAAAATAATAGAAATATTCTTTTGTTTGTTGGATGTTCCACATGATCTGCACAGATCTGATTATTGTTCCTAAATATGTCATTTATGAACTTTATGAACCCCTGTTCAGTTTTTTTGTTTTTAATTGTGCCTTCCCTGGAAAACAAAATAACCCATTTGGGCCCATTTTGTGTGTTGCAGCACGGCCATTGATTAATAGAAATGTTCTCTGAATGTCAATCTCACTGAGTGAACACAAAGCTGGTTTATTATCACACTTATCCAATACAATCAAACATATCTTATTTGCTCGAGGATGTTGACCTATATTACCATGGTCATGATTTCAAACCAGGCTTCTTATTTTGAAAGGTGAAAGGAGAGGTTGTGGCACTTTTATTTCTTTAAGCCAGCAAACTTAGTAGTATCTTGTGAAACTACCAATACATTAGTATCAACTGTGTTGGCATAGCCTGTAAGGTTGTGGGCTGAATAACACCTCAGATTTAGGTTAATTTTGGCGAGGGAACAGCTGGCATGGCCATTTTCAAAAAGGTCCATTGACCCCTCACCTCAAAATATCTGAATGAAAGTGGGTTCTCTGGGTACCAACATATCTTCTCTAAACTTGAGAAGGCCTGTTACCAGAAAATGTTTTGTTCCTTACAATCAGCTCCTTGAAATTAAAACTGTAAGACAGAGGAAAATAATCACTTTCATGTGTGGGGGTGTTTGGGAAGTTGACATAGGCATCAACATGATTGAAAGAAAAACAATCAGTCAACCACTCATTCAGCTGTTCAGCCGTCTCAGCTCGGACGCTAATTAGTGTCACACACGTGCTTATTTCTGTTGTAGTTTCTACAGAGGAGACAAGAAGGAAGGCAAGAAGGGATTGAACCAGGTTGAATGAGGTGATCAAATATGCAGAAATATGCTCATCATGTTAGGTAAATCTAAAGGGAAACTATAAATGTTGTCTTAAAGTAAGATTTAGCAGTGAAAAGTGGCAGCTGTTTGAGAAGCTACAGGCAATCAGTCTTAAGTTTGGCGTGCACCCTTTGATTGAAACCAAAGTTGGCAACTTGTTGAGCTAAAGATTGTGGAGTAATGTGTGTGCCGGTGATCAGAACAATCAAATGGATGAATCACAGCCTGATGTTTAGACTAATGAAGGCCCTGGAGATGTTGAGGCAGGATTAAAATGGGTGGTCTACACGGTGTTCAATACTACTAACAAACTTGCTTTTTATGAGCTGACAATCAATATGGTAAATAGACTAAATTTATATAGTACTTTCCTTGTGTTATGCTGTGTTCACACCACAACGTGACCAGCTACAATATCACAGAGTCACCGCTGAAGTTTTGCTACGTTGTTACGTCATCAGGGCTGTGTGTGTGTGCCTGCTATTTGCCACAAAGCACCCCTACTGAATGTCATATAAAGTTTGTATTAGGTCAGTGAAATATCTACTGTATGCTTTTGATCAATGTTTTAAGCCCCTTTTATCCTCACCACCCCCCATTGCATCTCTGTGTGTGCTGCAATGCACATAAAGCCAGAGCAGAGTCAGCTAACTAAGCTGAATAACACAGTACCACAGCCAGAAACAAAAACATATGATTGGCTGACACTTCCATTTGTCATTGGAGCGCTGAAAAAGTTGTGCCAGCTCAACTTTGATTTGTGGTGCATCATGCGCATCTGCAGCAACAAGTGTCGGGGGTCAGTTTGCCGCCTCATGTCACCAGCTTCCATTGAAAATGACCTGTAGCCTATGGCTGTGCTGCTTGCAGCATTAAGCAACCACTCAAGGCGCTGTACAACACAAGCCAGCATTCACCCTTTCACACACACTCAGTTTGGGGTTCAGTATCTTGCCCAAGGACACTTGGACATGTGGAGTACAGGGGCCAGGGATCCAACCACCAACCCTCTGATGAGCTGACGGCCACTTCACCTCCTGAGTAGCCGCCTTCATTATGAACACTGATCTGGTATCATTCATCTCTCGCGCTCCACCGGTTTCGCTCTCCTTCTTTCTCTTTCCATCCGTGCTCCGTCTCGATGTCTCTCGGCCCCTGATGAGAAATTAATAGCAGTTTAAATGTTGACGTTTCCACCTCATGACTCCAACATCTAAACATTAATTACACGCCTATTTATGCAGCTAAAGATAGACACTGTGTGTGTGGCTGTTTGTGTCTGACTGAGTGTGTGTGTGGGTGGGTTGTGATGTGTATTTATGTGCAAGTTTCATGCTTACAACATGCACATACAGTTTGTGTGTGTGTGTGTGTGTGTGTGTGTGTGTGTGTGTGTGTGCGTGCATAATGAGAGTCTCGCCTCACCTGTCTAAATTTGTCCAAACACCTACTGCTTGGCGTGGGCAGACATACAGCTCAGATTTGTCCCGGCTCTCTTACAGCGTGCAGATCGTGCTGTTCAGTTCAACATAAACTTAATGATGCCCTGATGTTTGATGATATATTGTAGTAGGCCATATTAAAGAAGGTATTTATACACATTACTTTACCTTTATCTGACTATTGTTGAGTTCATTTTACAGTTTAAGATTTAAAAATACTCGAAAACCTGTTTGAGTCATGTCACCCATATTTAAAGGTGCTATACAGTGCTAGAACCATTAGAGGTGACATATAGCACTACATTGTTTTTAAATTTTTTAGCCTGGGCTCCTTGAATGATGCCAGATAATACCATGGATGAGTAAATATGCTTCTAAATAACACCTTTACTTTAAAAAAAATGATGATGATTATTACTAACTTCTTACAAAATGTTGCTTAAAAGATTCAGAATCTTGTACTGCATGCTCACTGAGAAACACAATATATTACCTCTTCAAAACTGTACTAATTCCATGCACGTGCTAAAACATTAAGAGCCACTGTTTCAATGTATTATCCTCTATATTTGTAGGCTATTTTAATATACTGTTTTTATTCTTTCCCCAGTTAACTAAACTAAACTAAACTAATCATGAGGAACCAGTAGAGAACCTGTAAAGAACCATACAAAGAAAGTTCTGTGTTTGCCAGTGATGCTATTTAGCACCTCTACCCACGCCAAAGAAGCGCTGAGGAAACAACATTTTTCTGTGCCCAGGTTGTTAATGATGTGTGCATCTCCTCGATCTGGTGTCTCTTTGTTTTTCATTGCATAGTCATAACAGTCAGCTTGTAATTTAAAGGAACGGTTCACCCCCAAATCAAAAATACATATTTTTCCTCTAACCTGTAGTGCTATGTATCAGACTAGATTGTTTTGGTGTCAGTTGCTGAGTGTTGGTGAAATCAACCGTAGAGATGTCTGTCTTCTCTCAAATATAATGGAACTAGATGGCACTCGGCTTGTGGTGCTCAAAGCGCCGAAAAATTTGAGAAACTCAAATGTCCCTTTTCAGAAATCATGACTTGGTTACTCAAGATACTCCACAGACCTTGTTGTGAACAGTTTTATGTCGGAACTATTTTCCTTCTAGCAAACTACACCGTCCAACTTTATTAAAGGTGCAGAGGGACGTGTGCATCTACTCATGGACAAGAGGCTCATGACAGTACAAGATGTAAACATTTATGGCGTCCTCCTCAGTTGAGCTATAACGCTAGCTAGCTCAGAGGAGCTAACAGTGTCAAGTAGATGCACACTTTGTCCTACATGAAACAGCTCACA